TGTGGAGGCCAGAGGTTGATGCTGGGTGTTGCTACTCTTTTTTTTTTTTTTGAGACAGGGTTTTTCTGTAGTTTTGGTACCTGTCCTGGATCTCGCTCTGTAGTCCAGGCTGGCCTGGAACTCACAGAGATCCGCCTGGCTCTGCCTCCTGAGTGCTGAGATTAAAGGCGTGCACCATCACCGCCCGGCTTTTTTTTCTTTAAGATTTATTTATTTATTATATATGCCATGTTCTTCCTGCATGTATGTCTGCATGCCGTAAGAGGGCACCATATCTCATTATGGATGGTTGTGAGCCACCATGTGATTGCTGGGAATCCCTGAGCCATCTCTCCAGCCTCTCCCACAATCCCCCACCCTTTTTTTTTTTTTTTTTTTTTTTGAGATAGGGTCTCACTGAACTTAGAGCTCACAAATTGGCTCGCCTTGCTGGCCAGCAAACCCCAGGAATCCTGTCTCTGCCTCTGCAGTGCTGAGGTTATAGATTAGGAATCTTATTTCTGACTCATATCCCCCTCTCCTGTGCTGGGGTTACAGGCATGAATTACCTCACTTGGCTTTTTATGTGCCTGATGGAGATCTGAACTCAATCCTCATGCTTACACAGCAAACATTTTACCAACTCCCATATCCTGGGCACTGAGGCTTTGTCTCAATGAAAAAGGCTGGGAATGTGGCTCCGTGGTAGAGCACTTAACCTGCCTGCAAGGCCTTGGGTTCAGTCTTCAGGATTGCAAATCCACAAACAAAACCTTTATTTTACGAACACTGAAAGTCTTTAAAATTGTATATTAAATCATAAATCATCAAATCTTCAGTGCATGGATATTAATAATAATCCTTAATAAAGATTATTCAGTGATACCATTAAAACATAGTAAGGATGGCTTATTCAGGGACTTACAGTGGGCATAGAAACCTCTCAGACAGCCCTGTGATGGGGTGGGGATTGGGTTTAACACTGAACACAGCATAGGCAAGTGGGAATTTCTAGGCAAGGAGCAGTATGGAAGTCAGTAGATAGGGAATTACTGAGAATAATATTAAGCATAAGAAAGTCCAACTATACTGATCCAATAGCATTCTTAGTAAAGACAGGTTAGGAGATCAGACATCAAGGATGATGGGATATTAAAGACTATTCTGGCCAGGCTGATGGTACATGACTTTAATTCTAGCACTCAGGAGGCAGAGGTAGGTGGATCTCTGAGTTTAAGGCCAGCCTCATGTGTGTAGTGAGTTCCAAGCCAGCCAGGGTATATAGAAAGACCCTGTCTTAGCTCCCCCCACCAGCCCAACCCTGGAAAAAAAACAACAAAGAACCCAAAAGACACAAAACAAAACTTGATTATTCTAGCCAAACTTAGCAGTTATTTTGCTAAACTTAGGTTGTGTTTTTACAGATTTTTCTATGTGTGAATGTTTGCATGTATGTACATGTACCATGTGTGAATGTTTGCCTGCATGTATGTACATGTACCGTGTGTGAATGTTTGCCTGCATGCATGTACATGTACCATGTGTTGAACCTCCTAGAACTGGAGTTAGTTATGATGCCGGTGCGCCATGTGGATACTGGGACCTGAATCCAAGTCCTCTGCAAGAACAGCAATGCCCTTAACCACTGAGCCTTCTCTCTAGCCCCTAATATTAGATTTTAAAGGGAAATGCACAGATGGACCTGGAAGATGGTCGAGAAGTCTGGCCAAAGTTTGACCAAATAATCTTTGTCAGCAGTATTATATATAGTGGAGAAAAGGACATTTGTAGGCCTTGCATTTTTCAGGGCTCTTCAGAATCTTACCAACAAGAAGTCTCTCAGAAGTTACAGGCTGTAGATTTCTACTCCAGAACTGTTTGAAAGAATCCATAATGAAGAGACGAGAATACTGAGGGGTCCATTCACTGGTAGCCTCGCTCCAGGCCACACTGACAACTTCAGTGAACCAGAGGAAGGTTGATAGATCAGGATCTGAGACTGCTGAGAATGAAGGACTCGGAAATACCCCAACCAAGGGCTCTGCATCCTTGATGCATGATGCATCATTTTGGTTGTACTGGCCACACTTCTGGTTCTCTTTCCTTTCTTTCCTTTTTTTTTTTTTTCTTCGAGACAGGGTTTCTCTGTGTAGTTTTGGTGCCTGTCCTGCATCTTGCTCTGTAGACCAGGCTGGCCTTGAACTCACAGAGATCCACCTGACTCTGCTTCCCGAGTACTGGGATTAAAGGCATGCACCACCACCGCCCGGCATCCTTTCCTTTTTTAAAAAAATGTACTTTGCCCGCATGTTAGTTTGTGTGAGGGTGTTGGATCCTGGAGTTACACACAGTTGTGAGCTGCCACATGGGTGCTGGGAATTGAACCTGGGTCCTCTGGAAGAGCAGCCAGTGTTCTCAGCCACTGAGCCATCTCTCCAGCTCCCTGGTATTCTTTCTGTGTTT